GTCTTGACCCATTTAACAAGTTCAAAAGATCTCAAATGCATAGGATTGTCAGATGAATTTTTCAGTCAACTGATCAAAATTTGACTGTACACTGAAAAGTCAAACTTTGACTTTTTGGTCAAAATCAAGTGCCAAGAGTTATTTTTCATCAAGACATGTCAAATTGTGAAACTTGTTCATCAAGAAACCCAAAAATGCAAATTAGGGTTTAAAATGAAAAAATTTCATAACTTAGAAATTTTCTAAGTTATGAAATTTTCTTATTTTTCCCTAACTTTGTCCCACTTTTTCACTAAGATCCAAGTGGTTTCAAACAAAACTTGCAACATGAAAGTTGTAGTCCATTGTAAAATCTACAACTTTGATTCACAAAGTTTCATCAAAAGAAGCTTGTATATCAAGTTATGATTTTTGGAATAAGGGTCCATAAACTTTTTAACTTAGTGAAATTTTGCCCTATTTTAGGCAGGATTTTGACCTAACTTCATGGCAACTTTTCACATAGTTCCAAGAGGAATTTCAATATGCATTACAAATATGGATTGTAGTATATATTCCAAGCTTTCCAAATTATCCAAGAACTCCTCAAACACCCTTGTGGTTAGAGAGAATCGAATTCACAAAGTTGGCCAAAACTCACTTTTGTTCATGACCAATACATGTTCGTAGCAAATGGCATTTTCAAATCAGCTTGGTTTGTGCTAGCTTGCAGGCCTATAAAACAAGTTTACACTCCTTAATTTAATGCCTAACCATTGTGTTAAGGCATTATTTCATCTATTTGGGCATTACACATAGAATTAATCCTTAATTAGAAAAAGCAAAATTGCCATTTTTGAAAAGTAACACTTTATGTCAAGTTCCAAATCCTTGAGGTACAGGCCATATCTTTGAGGCAAAGCTTTGTACATAAATCCCATTTATCAAGAGCAAATGCTGCAACATAGAGAGGGAGGGTACACAGGCCTGCATTGCAACTTGAACCTTCTTACTTCAAAAAGAAGCAACTTTGCAAAACATATAAAACTTTCACTTCCTGCAAGCATAAGCCAGAACAAACTTTATGAACATCTTCCATAGATCCCAACTGACCTAAAACACGACTGAACCACCTCTCATACCTCAAAAAACACAAAAACACCCTCTTACTGCAGAAACAGGGCATACCCTGCAACTTGAGTTCCATAATCCATTCCTGTCGTGCGTTTTGTCCAAAAGGAGTTCAAACACATTCCATTCCATCCACTGAAACTATCCCAAGCCTTAAACTCAAGCTGTAACACCCCTAACCACGTTTGCCATTTTCACTTTCAAGCTGTGCAGGTGAACTTCTACAGCACGATACAGGTGGTTTCAAAGCAAGCTAGGTATTTGGGAAGCATCCTTTGACTTCAGGCAAGCTCAACCAAAGCTTAAACTCCATTGAAGGTTGCTACATTGCTCTGTTCAAGTCAAGCTGAAACAGGTAATCGATGGACTTCTATCTCTCTATCCAGGCATGATTAAGCTTAGGTTTGTGAATGAAACATGTTCTACTCATAGCCCTGAAGCCATACATGTGTTTACTTTTCATTTATATTAAGCATGCTGTGAGAATTTTAGCCATGAACATTGAAGAAAAACTAGGTCAGAAATTGGGGGTGAAGAAATTCTCCCTGGTTTCTTAGAGTTAGGTCAAGTTTTTTACATGTTTGGAATCGTGGTTTGATGCTCTACATTGTTTGTGTTATGAGTTTTTGCTAAAAATCAAGGAATCAAGAGTTTGTATTTTGAAAGGAGAGGCACGCGTTTGGCAATGCTGAAGGTTGAAGATGACTGGCTTGGGCTGGGCCTGAGTCAGTCTTGCTGTTTACACCCTTTTTTTCCATTTGCACCCCCCTGGCCCATTATGTGAAATACTTGTCGTTTTTGCATTTTTCTTTTTGGTTCTGATTTTATATTTTTTGCTCAAGCTTAAAAAACTCCAAAAATATTTTTTCCATATTTTTTACATTTATTTGGCATTTATTTGCTTTATTAGAATATATGTATGTAAATAAGTAAAATTCCTTTTCATTTTAAAAACCCTAAAAAAATAATATAAAAAATATTTATTTTTAGTTATTATTTTTTTTTTACACTTTGAAACATTTCCTAAAAAATAAATTTTTGTAAATAATCAATATTTTATTTTTGTACATATTTAGTATATTTAATATATAATATATAAATACTTGTATATTTTATTAGATAATTAGGGCAAAAAATACAAAAATAATACTTTTATTTTTTATTTAATATTTGACACCAAAAATATTTTTTCTACAATATACTTCCTTTTTTAAATTATTTTTTGTATAAATTAATATATATTGTGCATAGTTAATAAATAATACTATTTATTCAAAAATTAGGGTTTTGTCCTAAAACCACTAAAATAATCAAAAATATGACTTTTTTTATTTTGTTTATACTTCAAACATGAAAACTTTTTTACATACATAAAAAAATCCTTTTTTTTTGCATAATACATTGCATTTTGATATTTATTTACATTGTATTTATTTAAATGTTAAATATTTGTATATTCAATATGGTTGTAATAATTTAGATTTTATTTCCTTGTCAAATATCCCCCTAATTCAAACTTGTATCCCCATCCCCATAATCATGTTGTAATAATTTAGGACTTTAAATTCTCGCACATTTAAAAGTTTCCAAATTATGCCATGCTAGACTTAGGGTTTGTATGCAAAAACAATCAACAAATAGCTTGACCTAATTCAAGATAAACATGCATGAAAAAACAAACACAATGCACACTTGCACCCCTAGGGTTACTACACTTGTTGCCTTCAAAAATGGGCCATGTTTGCATATTGAGTTTCTTTGGCAAAACAAAAAACAAATCAAATGATCATAGTCCCTCGACGACGCTATCTCAAGTTGCCTAAAAATGACCAAGTCCCTTAAAATTGCCAAAGATACTTGACACCATTGCCTCCATGGTCTATACGATGGCCCGTGCCCGTCCCGTTAACATCCTAACACAAGGTTGTTCACCAAATACAATGGTGAAACAACACTGTTAAAAGGGTTAAAACATAAGAAAGATCTTTGAGAAATTTAGGGTAGATATCTCTTGGTTACTTGACCAAACTTGCAAAACAATCCTTGCCATTTTTCAAAACACACATCACAACACAACTTCAAAACAAACTTTCAAAAACATTGAAACATCTTTTCAAAAAGACAAACACCCTTGTAAAACATTCAAACAAGAATTGTTACAATGGTTGCCTAGACAAGGCATCTTTTTCAAAACATTTTCAAAACCACACACAAAGCACAATTTCAAACAATTGAAAAGCAAATGCAAGTGATCTAAGCAAGTAACTAAGAGCCCATGGATAACCATGGATAGAAAGGGTGCTAATACCTTCCCTTTCTATAATCTACTCCCCGAACCCAAGAAAACGTCTCAAAGGTTTTTCCTGTGCTTTTTAACCTTTCCTTAGGATAAAATAAAAATTCGGTGGCGACTCTTACTAAACCGAACATTTGCAAACACAAACGCAAAACCCAAGTCAGTTCTCCCACCGTATCACAGGAACCCAAAACGCATCCGCATATCAAATAATGAACCTGCATAAGACTCAACTCAACAAACAAATGTGAATCGCAATTTTCAAGTAATCGAAAGATTATGAATTAACTTCCTAAAATCAAATAAAAGTCTAAAAAAAATTTGATTTGTAGTTTTTTATCATAAAAAAAAAATCTAAATTCTATTTATTTATTTTGTTTTATTATATATTCTGTTACTATTTTTATTACAAAAAGAAAATTAAACTAAAAAAAACAAAAGCTAAAACTAAAGAAATAGGAAGAGTCAAGGGGGGTGTTAAACTAGATCAACGGTGGTATACATCAGCATTCCTAAGCCCAATTCTGCAATGAGCCCAACAGGTTTTTGTTTTTGTTAAAAAATGTGGTAACGGGCCAGGCAAGGATTTCATTCGTAGGCCCAGTCAGTAGAGTCCAAAAGGATGTTTTTGTTTTGTTTAATTGAATTCCAAACATATTGAAACCAACCTAGGGATGATACAGTTCGGCCCAACAATAGAGGGTTTGAGTTCAGTAGCAGCCTTTTTGTATACAAAAATTACCACTAGGGCTAGGGGGTAAATGGTTCGATCCATGATCCCTCACACAAAGTTCAATTCCAATTTTTTATTACCAATTATTGTTATATTTGAAATAAAATGAAAAAGAAAACAACAAGAAATAAAAAAAAAGGGAATGAACGTGAGATTAGGGTTAATTCGCTGTGACTTTGTTTACTTCCTCATGAAACAATAATCTCACTTCTTATCTTTCCTTGCAAAATTACAAACATAGGTGTGGCTCTTCTTCTCCTCTGGTGACTTCCGTCTCACCATTAACTCAGCAATTTTGCTTCATCATCTTCGATCTGGGTTCGTCCTCTTCAAACAAAACCTAACCATATCGGCTCAACCTCCATCGTCTGATGATTTCTTCGCTCCGATCGAAACAACATCGTCGTGTCCATCGCCTCTTCTGATTCAATTTCAACATTTATCAGCGAATCCTCACCTTATAGCGCCGTTTCCATTCTAGTTCAGTTTCGACAACTCACCGCTATGATTTCGATCTCAATCTATTCCAATTTATCTAGACGAACTCTAATCCTAAACACGGAATAAACCATGAACTAGACAAATATGTGAAAGAGATGAAGTCAAGGTTTACCTACCGAAAGAACGTTCTGGTGCACCTTCGACTTTGGAGAAAAAGCGACAACAAATTCCAGATGCGTATAATTAGGTAACGACAACGAATCTCCTTTTTCTTCTTCGATAATTTCTTCGTTTTTTTTTTGCGTTTTTGTGAGATTGTCGTCAATACGCAACTTGTGATGTTGAAGTTGTTTCGCTTTAGTTGAAAATGCAAACTGAAGACTCTTGAAGAGGATTAAAGATTTTTTAGAATTGATGAAGATGGTGATTGAGGGAGGAATGAGAGAATTGAGAGGAGTTGTTGATGAAGCACAAAGAGAATATTGCAGAATGAATGGTGATTTTCGAAAGAGAGAGATTGAGAATGGTCCTTGGGGGTGAGAGAGATTGAAGAGCTTGTTTTTGGTGAGTTTCCTCACTTTTCTGAATTTGTTATCTGTTATCTGTTATGAAAAAAACGTGTCTCCTCTCCCTCTCCTTTTCTGTTATAGTTTGTTAGAACACAGTTAGGAGTTAAAGGAGTTAGTTAGTGAGCCTTTTGGACAGTTGGTTACGGTTAGTTATATGAGCTGGCTTTCTGTAATAAAACAGTTTTTTTATTCTCACGATTCCCTATTTTCCTTTTTGTATTTCTGAAGCTTGTTTCCATTAGTTTGGATTGGTGATGTTAATTGGTTTTCTGATTTTTCTGTTATAGATTGACAGAGGAGATTGAAATTGATAGAAGTTAGTTATACCGTTTCTGTTGCAAGTTAGTTAGCTGGTTCAAGGTAGTTGAAACTGTTAGAAGTTTGTTAGAATTTCGTTATGCAGTTGGAGACAGTTAGAGATTGTTTAGGAATTCTGTTGTCAGTTAGGGATGTTAAAACAGTTGGTTAGAGGTATGAGGCTAGGAATTTTTCTGTTAAAAAATGTTTATATGATTCTGTTGTGAATTCAGTTGAAAAACTGCTTTGTGATGGGGTTTTGCAGGATCGGTTTTTAATAATACTTCTTCGAACTGGTTTTGATTTGGCCGCTTTGATGCAGGCAGTGGAGGATTTGAGCATTATGCCGAACAACAACTTGCTGCTCATCAGCGCACTCTTCAAACAATACAGAAGTGTCACATCGACAGCATATTTACTGAGAGTAAATTTCTGCAAGCTAAATCTCTCGAACAACTTGCAAAAGCGCTCATTTGGGCCGCATGACGACCTCAAAAAGTCAACAGCACACCAGAGGATGAAGATACAACCGTTTTCTTCTTGGAGTTGCTGATAACAATAATCTTGATGCCATGGAATTTTATGGACTTTGATGTAATATATAAGTTAGATTGAAATTGTCATTTTCATGTAATTTTAAATGGTTGAAAATGTACATGTTCTGTAATGAAGGCAAGCAAGGCCTCAAATGGCATGTTCAAGAATTCACAGTAGGTTCGGACTCGGTCCAGTCTGTTCAAATTCTGCTTGTGAACAAATCTCTCACCATTATAATTATTCCTTGAATGATGCCCACTCACACCATACAAGTGTTGATCGTTATGTGTAGTTCTCCAACCACCTTGTCTCCCCCTAGTTTCAAATGAATTTCTTGGTTTATTAAAGCTACCACTGGCCTCTTCATAATTGGCCGCGGGACTGCTATCGTTGTGAATAGTTCCAGCATTAATTGCATATGATGAAGGATGAATAAGTAATCCCTTTCCTTTCACTCTACTACGGTCTCTATCTTCAGCAACAATATCATCAACACTAATTAGAGACATTGTATTGCTAGAAACTGAATGCCCAGTACGGATCTGTTCAACATTATTGGTTTTAGAGCTGTTTTGTTCAGTTGATTGTTTTGCCCTTGTTGCAATATTTTGTGATGAAATGCAACCATTTCGTACCAATCTCTTGTGCCCTCTACATCCTGGAGCAGTGGAAAAACGAGGAGGCAAAGAAACTTGATTTTCACCTTTAGATTGAGTTTGTGAATCATTGGACAGAAAAATGCACTTGCCACGGTCCATAAATAGATGAGGACCTGAAAGTGTTTTGTTATTTAGTTTACACTTTCCAGTGGCGGTATTTCTAGATTTATTAGATGAATCAGCAATTAAGGATAACGAAGAGTTCCCAATACCTCCTTTCAATTCTTTCTTGTCTTCAATTGTGTTATTTCTCGATCCATGATGTAAGAAAGCTGCTTTTGATTATGGTAACTGCCCATTCTCTTCAGTCAAATCGAGAACAAGAATGCCCCCATGGTGAGATGACTTAGAAGGAATCATAGAGCTTACAGTTTTCCCTTTCTCCATCTGTTCAGCTCCACTAGAGCGCGATGTTCCAAGTCCAAAAACTTTTTCAGCTTGGGCTCTCCTGAATATGGAAGACTTTTGAGAAGGATAAGGTTTATCTGGGGACAGTATTATACACTTGCTGCAGTTACTTTTTCCACCAGCAATAGGAAAAGCCCTCTCCCTATTCTGAGATTTACCTACACACTTCTGATCATGGTTTTTAACATTTGATCTATCTGGGGTATCAGGAACATCGACAATCGAAACAAGTTCCATATCCTCCTCCATATCCTGATAAGTAGCGAGATTGAAAGTTTAGAGAGAGAGAGAGAGAGTATCCCTGTAATTTGATGATAAAGAAGTCTAGGAAATAAAATCCTAATTCGAACGAATGATTGATGGAGAAATCAACCGAAACAAGCTTGTGCGAAGATAAGAGCCTTAAAGCCATTCAACAAACCTAATTCCCCGAAATCCCTGATCTCAAGCCAAACTATTGATTAATGATGCATGATGCGTCAACTGACCTAATGAAGGTTATGTACCTCAATCTCAATTAAATCCACAGATTCTAGTCACCTTTCATTTGAAGCGACCAACCTCCATTCAGAGAGAGAAACCCTAATGTCAAAGCTCTTCGATCTTATAACCATGAGACCAATGCTATGAAATGTACAAAGTATGATGCGGGATCTTAGGGGTAAAAATTGGGGTACGTGCATTCAAAGATGTATCTCCGAAAATTTAGAGCATTTTTGACATTTCGTCAACGACATTGGAGAAAATACAAAGGTGCAAAAAGAAATTTCCTAATTGATTTAATTGTATTGTTTCATTTCTTTCTTGTACTGTGTTGTTTAAAGAATTTGTTTCTCCATGTTGCCTTTTTTCTTCTTCTTCTAGGATTTAGAATGTGCTTGGGTAAACATGAATTAAGCACTAACTAAAATAGAGAATGCGATATAACTACTTTTGATGTATGTCATAAATATAAAGTAATTTTTCATATACTACAGCATATTTTTACAACAACAACAGATTTTCATAGTGATTTTGCATGCATTATTTTCACAATTTCGAAGGCCGCACAATTTTTTTTTTTTAAAAGAAGTCCCATAATTTAAAGAACTCGGATTATGGCCTGTGTAAATTACTTATGAACCATTTGGATGATGAGCCACTTCATAATAAGTAGAATATTCAATCCAAAAGCACTTTGATGAAATAATCCGAGTTTGTCATCTTCACTAGAGATCTTGAATTCAAATCTAATCCTAAAAATGCAGAATGCTTAAAACTTTTGAGGAAGAACTTTGTCACCAGTTAAAGCATCTGCAGTCGCGCGAAGAGAATGTTCGGTTTGGCAGCAAAAAATAATTGATTACACTTATTTACTCATAATACCTATCCAATCATCCAGATTCAGCGAGCAACATCTGCTGTGAGATTTGGAACATATCCATGTGATCTCAACACCACTGTCAATCCCTTTAATACCCTATATATACTTTCTGTCTCTGGATGTCTCTCATCTAATGAATAAAATTCCACCACACTATCATTACACTCAATAACACTACATCCAGGCAATTTCCTAAACCCGGTATCTCTCATTGCAATCTTCAATCTGGCAACATCTTCCCATTTCCCCAAATCCTTATATATGTTCGAAAGCATTACGAAATTTGCAGGATTTTCCGGTTCAAGTTCAATGAGCCTTTGCAGAGCCAGTTCAGCTATCTCAACATTCTTGTATATCCTACATGCCCCTAGTAATGCAGCCCAAATAACCGCGTCAGGTTCCACTGGCATATTTCTTATAAAAGTCAATGCTTTGTCTAAAAGGCCAGCTCTTCCAAGCAAATCAACCATACATCCATAATGCTCAATTTGAGGCACAATTGAATAATCATCCACCATTGATTTGAAATACAAAAAACCATCTTTAACCAAACCCATATGAGTACAAGCAGACAATATCCCAACAAAAGTAACCCCATCTGGTTCTTCTCCATCACTCTTCATCCTATCAAACATACTCAACGCGTCGGGTGCGTGTCCATGTATGGCTAATCCATTAATAATAGTATTCCAACTAATTATGTCCTTTCTATCTAAACAATTAAACACGACAACCGCGTTTTCAATAACACCACATTTTGCATACATATCAATCAAAGCATTTCCAACAAACAAGTTTCCTTTATACCCAATACTCTTTGCATACACGTGCACCCACTTACCCATATCAAGTGCTCCCAATCTCGAACACGCAGACAACACAGCCACAATCGTGAAATCGTTAGGTACGACATGACCCTCAACCAACATCCGCTTAAACGATTCCAAAGCATTCGAAAAAAGATCATTTTTAACATAACCGCAAATTAGTCCATTCCAAGAATATACATTCTTTTCCGGCATTTCATCAAACATCTTCTCAAACAACTCAACATCCCCATTAGCAGCATAACCATTTAACATAGCGTTCCACGACATCGTATCCCGATTGGGCATCTTATCGAAAAGCTCTCTTGCAACAACCATATTCTTCATTTCAATGTAACCCGAAACTAAAATGCTCCACATTACAACATCACGCTCAGGCGCTAAATCAAAAAGTCTTCTCCCAGAAGCCACATCCCCACAAGATATATAACCGCTTATAATAGCAGTCCACACAACAACATTCCTCTCACTCATTTCTCCAAACACTTTATAAGCATCTTCAATACAACCCTTTGCCGAGTACATATCAATCAACGAAGTAGCCACGAATGAATTCGACTTAAAACCACGCTTCACAGCACAACAATGAACTTCTTCACCTTCTGTAAAAGCATTCGACTTCGCGCACGACTTAATGATCATCGGAAACGTGAAGCAATTCGGCAACGCCGCAGCACGGTTCAGTTTCCGGAACAAAACGACGGCGTCACGGTGAAGTTCGTTCTGGGAGTAACCTCGGAACATAACGTTCCAAGTGGCAGTATTTGGTAGGGGAATTTGATCAAACAGTTTTCGTGCGTGTTGTATTCGTCTGAGTCGCGAACACGTTGTGATGAAACTGGGTGCGACGAAATGGTTGTGTTGGAGTCCATGGGTAACTATTTGGGATTGAATCTGGTGGAGATGTTGGCAGGTTTTACATGAACGCAATAGAGTGATCAATTTTTCTTCTATGATTCTCTGAACCGGATTTAACACAACCTTAGTTAAAGGCTCCGCCATTAATTCTTGGTTTGAGTTTGGACCGGTCCAGCCTGAACCGGGTTGCGAGCATGTTCCTTTATGAACGAGAAAGCAGATTTGAATTTGAGTTGTGAAGTTATTGGTGTTGATTTTTAATTTTAGACCAAACAAAGCTCCTGTCGCATCATAAAAGATCATTTTATATTCACATTGCTAAAGCACATTCCAAGATACTTGTTAGTCATGTTGTTAGTAAAATTCTTATGGCTTACTACCTTATAATTGATATCTCCTTTGACATGCTTATTGTTTTTTAGTTTAGTTTGTTGTATTAATCTGATTAAAAATATCAAATGTATAATTTCATCAGGTTTGAGGAATAAGTCACCTATGTGCATTTTAGATATTGGAGGTTAGTTTGGGTTTTTGATTGTCTTTATATGATTTGTGTTGATGTACTTTTTTGTTGGAGCAACTCTTTTAATATATCTTGTGTTTTGAAGAGTTGCTTTGTAGTTAATATATTTTAGTTTATTAAAAAAAATAGGAATGGTTATATGTTCAAAGTACTATTTGTTATTAGCTCACTAGATGCTAGAGATGATAACATATAAATTTGATGCTATAATCCTCTAACTTAGAAATAACCTCTCTCACAGCCAATTCTTCATCATAATATTAGGAAACTTTGTAAAGTTAATGAATAAGATAGAACTACTAGTGTGCGAC